TGCTCAGCGGGAAGCCTGCTTCCCCTCTCCCACTCCCCCTGCTTGTGTTCTCTCTCCCACTCCCTGTCAAATAAATAAATAAAATCTTTAAAAAAAATAGTTCTGGGTACAAATCGAGGATCCACTATGCCCTCATCTTGTGACCTTGACCTTGGGTACAGCAGTTTACTTGTTGTCTCGTCTGCTCAGGCTGTCATAACAAAGTACCTCAGGCTGGGCAGCTTAAATAATAGAAATTTATTCCCTTACAGTCCAGAGGCTGGAAGTCCAAGATCTGGGTGCCAGCAGGGTGAGGCCTCTCTTCCTGGTTTGCAGATGGCGGCCTTCTCCATGAGCCCTCCCACAGGCTTTCCTCTGTACCTGTGAAGAGATGAGATGGAGAGAGGGGGATAGGGGTTCGGAGAGCGGGCAGGGAGTTAGTACTCTGGTCTCTCTTCCTCTTCTTTTTTTTTTTTTTTTAAGATTTTATTGATTTATGAGAGAGAGAGAGAGAGAGCATGAGTGCCTAGCAGGGAGCCCGATGTGGAACTCGATCCCAGGACCCTGGGACCATGATCTGAGCCGAAGGCAGACGCTTAACCGACTGAGCCACCCAGGAACCCCTCTCTTCCTTTTCTTATAAGGACACCATTCCTAATGGATTAGGGCCCCACCCTTATGACCACATTTAATCTTAATTATTTCTTTAAAGACCCTATCTCTAAATAGTCACATTAGGGGTTAGGATTTCAATATACAAATTCGGGGGGTACATAATTCAGTCCATAATATCTCTTATTCCTGTCCTTCTGCCCAGTTTGGTGTCTTCCTCCTCAAGGCATGTCTCTCCCATTTACTCAAGTTTTATAAACTTTGTAGTAACCGCTATTTTAAATATATATATGTGTTGGTTTTCTCCACATTGAATTTTCACATTTCTAATAAGTTTATTGCCAGCTATTTTAATATTTGTTTTTTTAACTTTTCCACCCCCCAATTTTTATTTTGTAAATGTTATAATCTATAAACAGTTGCAAAATATACAATGAATATTCATATTCCTAGATTCATCAATTGTTAACCTTTTGCCACATTTCCTTTATCTTTCTCTACATATCTCTATTTTTTTCCTGAACCATTACCTTCAGGCTCCTGCAATGCTCCCCCAGCTGCTCCAGAGCAACTCTGGTCTCCTAGCATTTAAAGGACATACTTCTTCCACATAATGAGAATACTTCAGGGAAGGGACCGTGGTGTGTGTTCCACTGAAGCTCTAGGATTTTGAAGTGCCAATAGGTGTTCAATAAATAGGAGAAGTGGCATGCCCAAGGCTGCATAGCCTCGTGAGGGCCAGCACCAGAATCTCACGCAGGTCTGACAGACCCCAAAGTCCGTACTGTCTTCTTGATAGCAAAGCAGACTTTTTACAGGAGAATAATGTATTATTGGTGATCTGGAAGCTGAACGTTTGGGGGCACGTGTTTGGTTGACTGAATTGCATTTTGATTCATCTTTGAGCATGAACTATTTTGCATTTAAGTTGCTGGCTTTGTGCCAAGCACATCAGCAGGACTATCTAGTATAAACTGAAGTTCTTCACTGTGGCTGATCAAGGGAAAGAGTCTCTGTACAAAAGCTCCTTTTATCATAGGTGGTAGTGATTTGTCCTGAGATGAATTGGTTGGAAAGGGAGGGCCTCGGACAGGTGTCAAAAGGTGTGTTCCAGTCTAGGCTATGTTATATAACTAGTCACACAACTTGCCCTCTGTGGGCCCCAATGTCTTCATCTAAAAATGGGCATTAAAAACTCTTGCCTTGGGACACCTGGGTAGCTCGGTCGGTTGGGCGTCTGCCTTCAGCTTGGGTCGTGATCCCGGGGTCCTGGGATTGAGCCCTGTATCTGGCTCCTTGCTCAGCGGGGAGCCTGCTTCTCCCTCTGCCTGCTGCTCCCCCTGTTTGTGCTCTCTCTCTGACAAATAAATAGGTGAAATCCTAAAAACAAAAACAAAAAAGCTCTCGCCTTGCCCACCTCCTAGAGATGCTGTGATCAGAAAGGGGAGAAAGCACACAAACCTTGATGTTTTAAATCCATCATATACTCCATCCTCTCAGAACCAGTTCAAATATTAGTAACTGTGCTCTGAGAATCATGTAAAACTTGAAAAAAAAAAGAATCAATTACTTCATTCTTATTAACTGAAAATTTTGCCATGATCAGGCCACAGGCTGGGAAAAATTCACATCTTGTTTTGATCAATCACAAGAGGTATCTATCTGGAATGGAACTGGCACCACATCTGTGCTCTCAGATTCAAATGTTACTTCTTAGCCTAGTGAGTACCTTTCCTTAATTGTATGAAATGATAAATGTGAAAAAGAATTCTGTAGGGCTTGATAGCTTGAGGTCAATAGTGGTGATTATTAACCTCGGGAGTACATCTGAATTGCCTAGGGAGATTGAAGATCATACCAATGCTACCAACACCAATTGTATTTCTTGGGGGTAGGGCCCAGGCTTTTTTCCTTTCCTTTCCTCCTCTCCCCTCCCCCTCCTTTCCTTTCCAAGATTTATTTATTTATTTTAGAGAGAGAGAGCACGCATGTGTGGGGCAGAGGGAGAGACAATCTCAAGCAGACTCTGCACTGAGCATGGAACCCAACACAGGGCTCAATCCCACGACCCTGAGATCACAGCCTGAGCCGAAACCAAGAGTCTGATGCTTAACCAATTGTGCCACCCAGGCACCCTTGGGCTTTTTTCTCTTTAAAGCAACTAGATAGGGGCGCCTGGGTGGCTCAGTCAGTTAAGCGTCTGCCTTCAGCTCAGGTCATGATCCCAAGGTCCTGGGGGTCCAGCCCTGTGTTGGGCTTCCTGTTCAGCAGTGAGCCTGCTTCTCCCTCTCCCTCTACCCCTCTCCCAGCTTGTTCTCTCTCTCTCTCAAATAAATAAAAATCTTAAAAAAAAATTAAAGCAACTAGGTAATTTTAATGGGCAGTAAAGTCTATAGGTACATGAAAGTGTGAAATGAAAAAGCTCTAACAGTGCTGTCCAACTGAAATATAACGTGAGCCACAAAGGTGAGCAAATATATGCAACTTAAAATTTTGTAGTAACCACTATTTTAATAATAAATTTTGCATAACCCAATACATTCAAAATATTATTTCAACATGTAATCAACACAATTATGAATGAGATTTTTTTTTAAAGATTTTATTTATTTATTTGACAGAGAGAGATATAGCGAGAGAGGAACGCAAGCAGGGGGAGTGGGAGAGGGAGAAGCAGGCTTCCCGCCGAGCAGGGAGCCTGATGTGGGGCTCGACCCCAGGACCGCGGGATCATGGCCTGAGCCGAAGGCAGATGCTTAAAGACTGAGCCACCCAGGCGCCCCCATCATACAGGTTTTATACATATATGTCTTGCATATATTTTTTCATTAGGATTATTCCTAAGTTGTTTGTATATTTGCTACTATTATAAGGGAGAAGAGTTCAGCAACTGATTATTGAGCTATTGATTTTGTGATATTATCTTGGTCCTGGACTCCCTTATAATTCTAAGATTTTGGGGTTGTTTTCCACATTTAAAGCATCATGCCAAATTATCTGCAAATAAAGATAATTTTATTTCCTTCCCAATACTTAAATCTCATTTCTGTTTCAGGTCTTCTTATATTAGCAAAAACTTCTAAAACAACATGAAATAATAGCATCACTATAGGTATGCTTGTTCTTTTCTTGTTAATGTTTTCTTATTTTAACGAGAATGTCTTTAAATGTTTCATTGTTAAAGAATTTTTTTTTGGGCCACCTGGGTGGCTCAGTCATTGAGCGTCTGCCTTCGGCTCAGGTCATGATCCCAGGGTCCTGGGATCAAGCCCCACATCAGGCTCCCTGCTCGGTGGGGAGCCTGCTTCTCCCTCTCCCACTCCCTCTGCTTGTGTTCCTTCTCTCGCTGTGTCTCTCTGTGTCAAATAAATAAAATCTTAAAAAGAAAAATGTTTCTTTTTTCTTTTTTCTTTAATAAAGATTTTATTTATTTATTTGAGAGAGAGACTGAGAAAGAGAGCATGAGCAGGGCAGAGGAAGTGGGAGAAGCAGACTCCCCCACTGAGCAGGGAGCCCGATGCCGGGCTCGATCCCAGGACCCTGGGATCATGACCTGAGCTGAAGGCAGATTCTTAACTGACTGAGCCACCCAGGCATCCCTCTTTTTTTTTTTTTTTTATCAAGATTTTATTTATTTGAGAGAGAGAGAATGGGAGCATGAGCAGGGGGGAGGGGCAGAGGGAGAAGGAAAAGCAGACTCCCCACTGAGTGGGGAGCCTGAGCCCAATGAGGAGCTCGAGGCAGGGCTTGATCCCAGGACCCTGAGATCATGATCTGAGCCACAGGCAGATGCTTAACCAACTGAGCCACCCAACTGAGCGCCCCTGTTAAAGTGTTTCTGAGAGAGAGAGACTCTCAAAAAAATTTTTTGGTTATTTGTAATTTTCTAATACTTTTAAAAAACTTTTTGAGATAATTATTGATTCACAGAATTTTGCAAAAACAGTATGGATTCACAGAATTTTGCAAACACAAAATTTAACTCTCCACCCAGTTCCCCAGTGGTTATATCTTATGTAACTGCAGGATAATAACAAAAGCAGAACATTGACATTGGTACAATGTATATTTCTATAGTGATTTTATCCGTTTGCATAGCCACCATTGCAATCAAGATACAGAACTGTTTCATCACTACAAAGACCTCCCTCACGCCATTCCTTTATGGCCACATATTTCCCCTCCCCACCACCATCCCTAATGCCTGGCAACCACTAGTGAGTTCTCTGCCTCTATAATTTTTTTTTTTTAATTTTGAGGATGTATGGTATCAAGTAATATGTAGCCTTTTCAAATTGGCTTTTTCAGCATAATGCTTGGAAGTCCATTCAAGTTGTATCAATAGTATGTTCCTTTTCATTAACAAGTAGTATTCCATGGTACAGCTGTACCATAGTTTTGTTTTGTTTTTTAATATGGAACACTTCAGTAATTCGCATGTCATCCTTGTGCAGCGACCACGCTCACCTCCGTATTGTTCCAACTCTAGTATATGTGCTGCTAAAGTGAGCGCTGTGCCACAGTTTTTTAAACATTCACCTATTGTAGAACATTTTGTTTCCAGTTTTTGTCTAATACAAAAAGCTGCTGTGACCAATCATTCACAAATTTTTATGTGAACATATGTTTCATTTCTGAGGTAAATGTCCAGGAGTAGGATTGCTAGGTCATATGGTAAGTGAATATTTATTTTTTAAAGAAACTGCCAAAACTATTTTCCAGGATGGCTCTAAGATTTCACATTCCCGCTAGGAAAGTGTAAGAGATACAGTTTCTCTGCATATTCACCAGCATTTGACATTGTCACTATTTTTAATTTTAGATTCTAACATAATTTTAAAAATCAGTGATGATTTTATCAAATATATATTTTGGCATTTATTGAGATAATTTTATGGGATCTCTTATTGCTTTCTTGATGAATTGCATTATTTTATCCTTAAGTATACATATACTTTTTTTTTCCTCCAATGTCACATTTCCCTTTTTGGGGGGAGATAATAGGAGGAGGAAGAAGAGGGGTAAACAGGGTCCCACTGGAATCTCCAAAGTGTATGAGACTGGTAGTACAAAGATGGGAGGAGATGGCTAGGCAGATTGGGTGAAAGGCCTCCGAGATTCTTTTTTATGATTTTTTTTTTTTAAGATTTTATTTATTTATTTGACATAGACAGAGAGAGAGAGCACAAGTAGGCAGAGAGGCAGGCAGAGGGAGAAGGAGAAACAGGCTCTCCACCGAGCAGGGAGCCCAACGCGGGACCCGATCCCAGTGGGATCATGACCCGAACCGAAGGCAGCCGCTCAACCAAACTGAGCCACCCAGGCGCCCTTTTTTCTGATTTCTATACCCTAATGAAAATAATATGAAATATATTTAAATGCCTAAAACATGGTATTTAGTAAATGTCAGTTGCTTTTCCTAGCAGGGTTCTCCACAGGCTAGGTTGTACCTAGACATCATCATCCTTCTCCTTTCCAGGAATGAGGCTCACCTGGAAAACCATGGCACTAACATGTTGTACAGTAGTTTGGATGATGCATTTAGTTAGCTGGCTCAGTGCAGGGTCTCACTGTCTCCCTGTCCTCCCCACTCCACTCTGCCAGGGATGGGCTAAGAGTAGTGTCCCAAACGGCAGCCCTGAGTCCTAGCCAGCTTTTCCCAACAGATTCCAAGTGTAGGGTGGTGGCTTGCAACTCTCCAGTGCACAGTCCTCTCCTTCTGGTGATGATACTTGTACAGAGAGACACAGACACGTGTGCTCATTCTGCTGGCTGTCTTCAGGATCTCAACAGCCTTGCTGTGCTCAATCTCTTGGAAATCGACATCATTCACAGCTAGGGTCTGGTCTCTTTCCTGAAGTCCTGCTCAATGTGCGTCAGAGCTGGGAATCACCTTGGAAATGAAGACACCTAGCAGGGAGGCCTTTCCTCCTTGGATGTTAAATCCCAACTGAGCTCCAGGGGGCTTCTTCAGTGTGATGATTGGGGGCAGAAACTGGGTCAACTCATTGTTGCAGGCTTCATGGCATACCCTCTCCTGCGGGGGAATCCCTGCTGGGGGCAGGGGGTGGGGGGAGGGTGGCGGTTCTAACAGGCTGGTAGGAAAACTGCCAGGTAGTCATCGTAAAGACTCTGGCTGTCCACCTCTAAGGTGCCACCAGCCAGCCTCAGCCACCTCAGGCTCCGCTCACTGCCAGTTCCACATATATGTTTTAAACGGAAAAAAAATATCAAACAGTACAAAAAGAACACAAGGAAAAGTAAGTCTCTTCCCATCACTACCACTGAAAAAATCACTTTACCTGTTTCTTTTGTTGTCATCTACTATATATATTTGAATTTACATTTATTTATGTATTAGTTTTATTGAGATAAAATTGACATATAGCATTGTGTAAGCTTAACAAGTACAACGTGTTGATTTGATGCTTACATATTGTGAAGTGATTACCATAGTAGCATTAGTAAACACCTCCATCACCTCACATAATTACCATTTCTTTTTTTGTGGTGAGAATATTTAAGATCTAGTCTCTCAGCCACTTTAGAGATTATTGTTAACTATAATCACCATGCTGTATATTAGATCCCCAGAACTTAAAACCTGGTGTTTGTACCCTTTGACATCTCCCCATATCCCCTACCCTCTGGCATCCACCATTCTACTCTCTGTTTCTAGGAGTTCACCTATGAATTTAGATTCTGCAGATTAAGTGACAAGTGGCATGTTATGACTGAATATATATCTATATTCTATATAGATATTCTATATATTCGCTCTATATATCTGTATTCTCAGATAGATATAGTACCTGTATCTGTATATGTCTCACAACGTCTTTATCCAGTCATCTGTTGAAGGGCACTTAGGTTGTTTCCATATCTTGGCTACAGTAAATACAGTTCATGCAGCTAACATAGGAGTGCAGATAGATTTCTATGTTTTCATTTCTTTTGGATATACACCCAGAAGTGGGATTGCTGGATAATATGGCAGTTCTATTTTTAATTTTTTTAACTTATTTGAGAGAGAGAGTGAGAGCGCAAGTGGTGGGGGAGGAGGGGCAGAGGGAGAGGGAAAGAAAGTCATAAGCAGACTCCCCGCTGAGCACAGAGCCCAACATGGGGCTCGATCTCAGGATCCCAAGGTCAGCACCTGAGTAGAAATCAAGAGTTGGATGCTTAACCGACGGTGCCATCTAGGTTCCCCTGTTTTTAATTTTTTGTGGAAACACTATATTATTTTCCATAGTGGAGTGTACAAATTTACATTCCCCCCCATGGTGCACAAGGTTTCCCTTTTCTCTACATCCTTGCCAACACTGATTATTTCTTGTATTTTTGATGGGAGTCATTCTAACAGGTGTGAGGTGATATTTCATGGTGGGTTTGATTTTCATTTTCCTCATGATTGGTGATGTTAAGCATCTTTTCACGTTATCTGTTGGCCATTTGCGGAAAAATATCTATTCATATCTTCTGCCCATTTTTTAAAAAGATTTTATTTATTTGAGAGAGAGAGAGAGAGAGAGAGAGCATGGGGTGGGGGAGGGTCAGAGAGAGAAGCTCAGCAAGGAGCCTGACTCAGAATTCCATCCCGGGACTCCAGGATCATGGCCTGAGCTGAAGGCAGTTGCTTAACCAACTGAGCCACCCAGGAGTCCTCTTCTGCCCATTTTTAATTGGACTGTTTTTGGCTATTGACTTGTATGAGTTCCTTATATAGTTTGGATATTAACTTTTATTTATTTATTTTTTAAAGATTTTATTTATTTGAGAGAGAGAGAATGAGAGATAGAGAGCACGAGAGGGAAGAGGGTCAGAGGGAGAAGCAGACTCCCCGCTGAGCAGGGAGCCTGATGCGGGACTCGATCCCGGGACTCCAGGATCATGACCTGAGCCGAAGGCAGTCACTTAACCAACTGAGCCACCCAGGCGCCCTGGATATTAACCTTTTATCAGCTATATGATTTTAACATATTTTTTCTTCCATTCTGTAGGTTGCCTTTTCATTCTGTTGATTGCTTCTTTTGCTGTGCAGAAGCTGTTAGTTTGATGTAGTCCCACTTATTTTTGCTTTTGATGCTTATGCATATGGTAGCATATCTGAAATATCATTGCCAAGACCAACATCAAGGAACTTCTTCTCTATGTTCTTTTTTTTAAAGATTTTATTTATTTATTTGACAGAGAGAGAGAGAGCACACAAGTAGACAGAGTGTCAGGCAGAGGGAGAGGGAGAAGCAGGTTCCCTGCTGAACAGAGCCCAACGCAGGGCTCCATACCAGGACCCTGGGATCATGATCTGAGCCGCAGGCAGCCACTTAACCGACTGAGCCACCCAGGTGCCCCATCTCTATTTTTTTTTTTTATAGGATTTTAATGGTTCTGGTCTTAAGTCTTTAATCCATTTTAGGTTAATTTTTGTGAGTAGTGTAAAATAGGGATCCAATTTCATTTTTTCTGGATGTGATTATCCAGTTTTCCCAATGCCATTCATTGAAGAGACCACCCTTTCCCCATTGAGTATCCTTGGCTTATTTTGTCAAATATTAGTTGACCATAAATGTGAGGGTTTATTTCTGGGCAGTCTCTTCTGTTCCATTGGTCTCTTTTTATGCAAATACCATACTGTTTTGATTACTATGGCTTTGTAGTATAGCTTGAAATCTGGGATTCTGCCAGCTTTGTTTTTTTTTTTCCCCCTCAAGGTTGCTTTGGCTATTCAGAGTCTTTTGTGGTTTCATATGAATTTTAGGATTGTTTTTACAATTTCTGTGAAGAATGCCATTGGAACTTCAGTAGGGATTGTATTGAATCTCTAAATGGCTTAGGGTTGTATGGACATTTTAATGATATTAATTCTTCTCATCCACAAACACGGGAGATCTTTCCATTTATTTGTGTCTTCTTTAATTTCTTTCATTTAAGCCTTATAATTTTCAATGCAAAGATCTTTCATCTCCTTGGTTAAATTTATTCCTAAGAATTTCATTGCTTTTGATGTTATTGTGAATGGAGTTGTTTTCTTTATTTCTTTCGCAGATATTTTGTTGTCATTCTATTGAAATGCAACCGAGTTTTGTATGTTGATTTTGTATCCTGCAACTGTACTGAATTTGATTAGTTCTAACAATTTTTTTTCTTTTTTGGTGGAATTTTTAGGATTTTCTCTGGACAAGATATAATATCATCTGCAAACAAGACAGTTCAGTTTTACTTCTTCTTTCCCAATTTGGATGCCTTTTATTTATTTTTCTTGCCTAGTTGCTCTGGCTAGGACTTCCAGTGTTATGTTGAATAGGAGCGGTGAAAGTGGGCACCATGGTCTTGTTTCTGATCTTAGAGGAAAAGCTTTCAACCTTTTGCAGTTAAGTATGATGTTAGCCATAAGTTTGTTATATATGGCCTTTATTATGTGGAGGTATGTTCCTGCTGTACCCAAGTTGTTGAGAGTATTTAATCATGGAAAGATGTTGTACTTTGTCAAATGACTTTTATCTTTTTTTTAAA